AGTCACAAATATCTGATGGGATGTTTTAAGGAGGCTACACGCTAGATAATCTTAAAGGTCCCTTTCATCTCTGGCACTTTAATGGCTCTAAGATAGATGAGCTTTTCCAGATCGAGCCATTCTTAGGACCTTATTTAAAGCATTGTTTCTAAGCAGAGTTGTTTTATACATCTCAAGCAACCAACTTAAAATCAACTTTGGGAACATAATCTATGGAGATGGGGCCTTCCTGTTTCTCATAAAATATTATCCACCTTTTTCTTCTATATCTTTATTACTATAGTAAATATATTATCAGGTCAAAAATATTTCTTGGTGAAAAAAAGCACATTAAAATTAAAATAAGAAAACAAAATACTGTCTTTTCTTTTCTACTAATAGGATTCTTATAGTCATCTTGGCATCTTAAATTTTCTGGTTAGAACAGGTCAAAAGAATTCCCTTTCCCATTTCTCTTCTGACTTTCCTCCTTCCTATTTTATTGCAATTCAATAAGCCCTTATGAAGTAACTTTTTGATGCTCAAACCTGGGAGCTATATGAAACATGGTGCTCCAGGGAGACAGAGTGGGCAGTGTTACAGAAAGACTCTGAAATGCTCCAGTTATCCCTATGTCCTAGAATTTATGCCCTTGTGTATTCCCCCAACTTGTCTTTGGGTGGGACCAGTGACTTGCTTCTAAACAGTAGAATATGGCAAAGGTGGTGGGATATCACTTCATGAATACATTATATAAGTTTGTAATTTCCATCTTGCCAGCAGACTCTCTATAGATGCTCTCCCTGGCTGGCTAGGAAGTGAGCCTCCACATGGGGAGGTCCATGCCACGTGGGGGAGGCCCATGCAGCGAGCACCGAGGGTGTCCTCCAGCTGACAGGAAAGAGCTGAGGCTCTCAGTCTAATAACCCTCAAGGACTGTGTGCTGCCAACAACCACGCCACAACGAACACCCTAACTGCAGGAGAGACTCTGAGGCAGGAGCTCCGATTCCTGACCACAGAAACGGTGAGACAGTGAATGGGTCTGCATCTTGTTTTACACCACTACATTTATGGTGATACTGTTACCTAGCTACCGACAATTACTACAGGTGGAAACATAAAATGTAATTAGAGAACAATGTAGTGGAAACAGAAAAAAAAAAGTGAAATAACAGAAAGATCATTACGGGATAAAGTTAATTTTAAAATATTTCATAAAGAGGCTAGATATAATACCCACCTTAAATCTTTCAAGTATTCATTGATCAAGAGGAAGAGGAAACATAGAGGTAGAATCAACTGAATATCAATACTACTGCACTAAGGAACACTGAGAGAAGGCTGACTAGGTACAATGGGTCTGAATCATGAGAGGCCTGGAATGGCAGGAGATGAGTGGGCTCCTTTGTCATACTATAGGCAACAACACTAAAAGAAAGGCTTCTGACCAGGGAAATGACAATAAAGTGTTTTGAAGAACTTAATTCTATCACAGTATAAAGGATGGAGAAGACTAGAGGTTAAGACCAAGAATACGCTAGCACAACAGTCTACATGAGAAGCCAACAAACACATGAATAATCAAAGATACACAAATTAAAACTATAAAACACCATTTTTTGGTTGATCAAATTAATGAAAAATAAAAACTAGTAACACTAGCAAAGATAAAGCAATCGCAGACACTGTTGGTGGGAATGAAAGTGGAACAGCCTTTATGGAAAGCCATTCAACAATGTGCTTTAATAATCTTAAAATATTCAGATCCTCAGAGGCAGTAACTCACTTCTTAGAACATATTCTACAAAGGAAACACATTTATTACCCATTCAACCAACATTTAATTGAATGCCTACTATGTTCTAGGTACTGAGGATATTGCAGTGAACCAAACAGACCTCATCTCTGTTCTCGTGGAATATAGGACAAACATTTAACAAATAATCACAAAATAAATGTATAATTACACATATTACAGGACACAATGAGAGAGTATTTTTATTTTATTTTTTAATATATTTTACTGATTTTAGAGAGAAAGAAACATTGACATGAGAGAAACATCGCTTGGTTGCCTCCCGCATGCACCCTGACCAGGGATTGAACCCACAAACTCGGTATGTGCCCTGACTGGGAATTGAACTAGCCACTTTTTGGTGCATGGGATGATGCTCAACCAACTGAGCCACACCGGCCAGGGCAAGAGAAAAATACATTTTTTTAAATCCTCACCAGAGAATATTTTTCCATTTATCTTCAGATAGAGTGGGAGGAAGAGAGAGAGAGAAACATTGATGTGAGAGAGACACATCAATTGGCTGCCTCCCGCATGACCCTGACCAGGGCTGGGGACTGATCCACAACTGAGGTGCGTGCCCCTGACCAGAATCAAACCCACAACTCTTCGGTCCTGGGTGACACTCTAACTGCTGAGCCAAACCGGCCAGGGCAAGAGAATATTTTTAAGTACTTGATTTAAATTGTGAAATAAAAAAACACCTTTTTTAGGAAGTAACATTTACAGTTGTCCCTCGAAAAAACCGTGATAGGGTGAAGCCACAAGGATCGAAGCGTGAAGTGGCGAGGGCGACTGTGTATAAATAAAGAATCCTACTTCGCGGAAATTCATTTATGCGGTAGAGTCTGGAAATGATTAACTGCGATAAACCAGGGCCGACTGTACACTGAGAACTGAGAGATGAATATAATTTAGCCATATGAAGAATGGGAGAATTTTTTTTTTGATAGAGAAAACAATATTCATGAAGGCAAGAAAGAGTTTTGTTTTAGAATTTAGAGGATTCGTTCATTAACTTCTTCAAAAAATATGTATGAAGGTCTTCGTAAGTACTAGGTACTTGGGGCTGAGGATGAGGGATAGGAGAAAGTGATCAAGGTCAAGTTGTGGTTATAGCAGACAAAACAGGTGTAAAAATAATTCTATAGCCATGGAAGGGCCTGGTATTCATAATAAAGCCAAAGATGTACAAGGAAATGAGTGAAAAAGGAGAAAACCAATGCATTTAGCAGAAAGAAAGAAGAGGATGAAATAAAAGTAATAAACATAAAGATTTTTTCTGCCTCTTTTCAAATCCAAATAGACTTACCCGAGAAACATATGTTCAAAATGTGCCATTCATTTTTTCAAAAATTACCGTTTAGAGATGAAAATACTTAGATGGGTCAGCACTAAAATGCTCATATGTAGAGAAGAGGCAAGTGGAGATTAAAAATAAATTTTAAACATGAATCCATGAGGTAGAGCATGTCTGTACTTCAGAAACAATTTCCCCTACAGCTATCCACAAACGGTTCTTGACTATGCTAAGTATTCAGGGAAAAGAAACCACTTTTTTTTTTTGGAATAATAGCAGACTCTCTTTGTAGAGGTCAAAATGTACACAGAATACTCCAAGGATCTGAAATTAAAAATTGACCAAATGAACCTCCATTAGGTTAAGTGTGAAGAGTGACATTTACGCAAACCTATGGTGAGAATATGCTTGGAGTCATCAGCAAGTTATAAAGGGAGCCATAGAAACCATTACAACCTCATGTGAGCAGCAGACCTGGAGGATTCGAGCCCCTTTCCTCCCATCTCCTCAATGATCCAAAAGGCAATATTTTATGTTTGGTACATGTCAACAGCATTAAAAGTTAAACAATATTTGACAGCATGGACACTGGCTACAAAATCAAAAGATATGTGGAACTCTGTACTTTTTTTTTGCAACTTCTATATGAATCTAAAATTATTTCAAAATGAAAAGTAAAAGTAAAAAACAGTAGTAGTCTTGCTTCATGAGGCAATAAAAAAGGATAAACAAAACAATCCTTCAAATTACCCTCTAAGAGCCGATTTTCACTTCTCCCTGTCAGAGGTGCAGTGGACATTCCATTGCCCACCAGGCTTTCGGAAGTCATTTCAGTATCTGTACGCCTCTGCTGCACCCACCTCAGAGTGGTATCAGGGCTGCTGACTATGGTGTGCTACACAAATATTCATTATTATTTAAAATCTTACTCATTTGAACTTTACTATTCCTTCATTAAATGGAGGAATATCTCTGAGATGTGATTAATTATTTGGATTTCTTTACATCTGTAATATTACCAAATTAATTTTATACTATCCAGTAGAGGCCCACATTTAACCAACAGATTTATCTAATAATAAGTATAGTTATTACATCCTGGAAAATGCTTCATAATAGAAATAAAACCCAAAATAATGTTTTTAATCTACTTAGCCTTTCCCATAAAGTTCACTACTTGAATTGATTAACCTGTTACCTTAAAATTAGTTTAGTTAATTCTGAAGTCCTGTCTTTATTTATTAGACCTATCTAATAAAGTTTGAGGGGGGCATAAATATACAGTGTAAACAAATATGATTGACAAAATATATTTTCCCCAGAGACATTAAAAAGGAAATAATAACTCTTTTGAAGGAAAAAAAGACAGTTAAATCAGTAATTTCATGAAATCCAAAAGATGAACCTTGAGAACCCAAAACAAATTTTAATGTCTGACAAAATGAATGCATCTTTTATAAAATTGGATTGATGTGTACTTATAAATTATTCATTATAAAATGTATCATTATAACTTTAATGTTTCAAAATCCATTATCATCCCTCTGTCTCCGATCAAGTATAATTGTAGGAAGAAAAATATCATGTTATTTTGTGGGTTAAAAAAACTTTGTGTACAATCTAAAAGCTAATGGAAAAACAAAGTATAAGAGTAACTTTCAAATCAAGCCTTTACTCACTAAAAACCTCAAGGTACCCCATTTTAACATGGCAACTAATTTTACTTTCTAGAAAAAGTATTTATAGGCCAGGAATGATTCAAGTGGACAGTAAAAAAAAATAAAAAATCAACAGGAGTCATAAAAATAATATTCATTAAGATATTTTTATAACAGGAAGAAAAGCAGAATCCTCCCTCCACCCCCCAACCACCACACACTTCAAAGTGTCCATTGTGTTCATCATTCAGCAACATTCTACTCACTTCCGTTGGGTGTGGTCCATGCCACTGTTTGGTATTGATTCCAACTTTGCATTTTTCTGCCCACAGATATTTCCATAGCTGTCGTATCCTGACACTAGTCTCGCTGCTGCACCTGTTGCTACTGAAAAGCCACAAATAAATCCCTAGAGGAAAAAAGAGAAAAAAACATACAAATAAACCATTTCAATAGCAACAGTCACTACTTGATACGATAATGACTTCTTTTGTCTGTTGAAGGGAACAAAGACCTCTTTCCTTGTTGCAAACACTATTCCACTGTTTCCCTCGGATTTCACTTGAGCAGCACAAAGAAGTCCCCAGGGAAACACTATTTACTACCATAACAACACAAATCTCTAAGTTTTACATCATAAGATTGTCTTTGTATTTTATAATAATAATAGCAGCTTCTCTGTATTGAACATCTGCTCTATGCCAGGCTCTGTACTGGGTGCTTACCATACATTATAGCTAATCCTTGTGATGAGGAAACTGAGGCCCAGAGAGGTTAAATAAGGTTTCCAAGGCCACAGAAGCTAGTAAAGATCAGAGCATAGAATCAAACCCAGCTTTCTTCATTTTTTTTTTTAAGTTTTATTTGGTTGCAAGGGAGTCCTATTATAAAAACAACAGCAGTGGATGAAAGGGAAAAAAATCAAAGAACAATACGTATGTGGATTTTGAATTATTATTGCTTCAGTGCACACAACACTTCTGTTTGCTTCCTGCAATACAGCTATATACAAGCCAAGGAATTACACCATGAAGCACTGCCACGCCCTTAATACTGGAGAGTCAAGAGAGTGAGGCACTGGGTCCATGTGCCACAAAGGCCACTTCATTCCATGGGAACATGCTTCATCACAGTGCCAAGGCAAATGGTGGGTGCTGCAGAACCGCACTGTGCTGGCTAAGTCAAGTACACTGACCAAAAGAAAGCAGTAAAAGCCTACACTCCACCGCAGGCATAGAACAGACAGTAAGGCGAATCACCACTGATGGCTGAATTGGGAGAAAAGATTAGGATTAAGAAATATTCTTGCAACTTGATCATTACCAGCTTTGGTTTTTGTTGCCTTGATTTATTTACTTTTGTTAATCCTCACCCGAGGATATGTTTCCATTGATTTTTAGGTAGAGTGGAAGAGAGAGAGGTAGGGAGGGAGAGAGAAACATCGATGTGAGACCCTGACCAGGGCTAGGGATTGAACCTACAACCCAGGTATGTGCCCTTGACCAGAAATTGCCTGATGCTCTAACCACTGAACCAAACGGGCCACGGCTTATTATCTTTATTTAAGTGGCTAATGAAGACAGAGATTATCACTGTTTACCCATTATAACCAAGTATCATGAGTAGTACTAAGCAGCCCTGGTAGATCTCTGGCCTACGGCTGTAAGAAGTATACTCATATGTAATTCCTCAGAGAAAAGTATTTCCCTCTTAAACATGCTTTCCTAAGAAGGCAAACAAACTTTTTTTTTCCCTAAATAACCTCTATTTTTATCATTCAGGTAAGAAAAGTAAGGGGCAGGGTTGGGTGGGTCAAGTAGAGAGTATAGCTCTAGCTGGTAGAAACTACACTTTGTCAGAAAGTAGACTCAGTAGAGACCATCCCTGATTTGCTACTCTTTGCTCTCTGATCCTTGCCAAGTTACTTTAACTCTTTGTGCCTCAATTTACTGACCTATAAAATGGAGATAATGGTAACTCATAAGGCTGCTGTAAAGGTTAAATGAAATAATCCAGGAAAGTGATACGATTTCTGCGTGGCACAAAGTAAGAGTTAAATAAATATTAGCAATTATTGTTATTAGAAATGAGAACATGGTGCATCATAGTGCTTGTGCTCAAGTTACCCTTATTTTGCTTAATAATGGCGCCAAAGTGCCAGAGTGGTGACGCTGGCAAATCGGGTGTGGCCAAGAGAAGCCACAAAGTGCTTCCTTTCAGGGAAACGGTATGTATAGGAAAAAACATAGTCCATGTAGGGTGCAGTACTCTCCATGATTTTGGTATCCACCGAGGGTCCTGGCAGGTATCCCTATGAATACGGGGGAACTACTGTCATACCTATTTCACAGTCCAATGATGAGAACTAACTGTGATAATGCACATCTAGCCCCTGACTGGTCTGGTACATGGCAGGTAATCAATACCTGGTAGCTGTTAGTGGTCAATTTGTGTAAGTCAGATTAAAGAGGTCGACACCGGTAATTGGGGACTAACCAAAAACCCCTTCAGTTCTCTATTTTAGTACAAAAATTTCTTGGGGGATAAAAGTGAGAAATATTGTCAGTAATTTTGTTACCACACAGAAATATTCAGACCACAATCACAATCTTCTTTCACTACTTGTCTAAAATAGCAAATCCTCTGCATAATTAAAAGGTTATGTTCTTCTTTCACTTTTCATAGGAATTTTCTTCTTAGGCTTGATAAGTACTTTGTGTTGAAGATCCCTTTAAATGATTTCTGATTTCCCTTCCTGGCTATTTTTAACAATACTGTTGGACATGTGGATTTTGTATTTTTTTATTTATTTTTTATCATAAGCCACCTCACATCCCTTTGAGATGTAGGCAGAGTATAAATGATAAACATCACAGAGATATATGGTAAAATAGAACACTGACATATTGTCACATAGGCTATGTAAACTTCTTAGTACCTTCCAAAAGAATCAGAGTACAAAGGGTAAGAAGCTTCAGGGGAAAAGGATGGAGAACTGCAAGATAATAAAATAAAAAAAAAACATGACTGCTATCCCAGGGACTTCCCATATGGTACAAGCATTGATAATGGGGGACTAGGCCAAATATAATTAAAAATACAATCTCTTTTTTAAAAATCCTGAAATCCAAATGCAGGAAGCAATATAGTTTCCTATGAGAAAAAGATATATATGGTACATGAAATTAAAACAGGGTGAGAAACTTTACAGAACACACTCAATCATTTAATGGCTCTACAGAGGGTGGGGGTATGGTGGGGGCAGGCATTTAACAGAAGGAAATCACATTAATAAAGCAAATGATACGGGGGATGAGGGAAGCTTTCATAATACTATAACAGGGAGCAATCACTAGAGAGAAAGTAAGCCTATTAGTACGGAAGAGAAAACCATGGCTAAAATCTTAAAATGACTGAGTTATTGAAGTGCTTTAAGAACTACTGTTTTCAGAGAGAGAGAAGCAGACAGATCTAATCACAAATAGGAGGTAACTCAAATTGTAAGAAGGCATAGGGATGGTGGGTCACAGCCAAGACCTGGTGACTCCTAAGTACCTATTGCTGGGTGGGAGAAAGACAGTCTGCTAAATAATGAACTGTGCTCATTGTCCCTTCATTTTTCAGGGGTTAGTTCAACTAAAGAGCTTAGTTTCATTCATTATTAGAGAGAGAGAGAGAGAGAGAGAGAGAGAGGGAGACATATTTTATTTCACAAGCATGTTGAATTTCCTATCTGGAGCTTTTACTGTGCAAATGAGCAAGGTAGAAAGCCTTAGTTTAGTTCTGAAACACAAGTCAACAAAAACATGAGGGGTAGAGGCAGCCTGGAGTATAAATGTGGCAAAATGTTTCAAAATAAAAAGGTATTAATGAAATTGTATCAGATTCTTTTCCCCTCTCAAATACTACCTCCTTTTGCTCTATACATCCCTTATCTCAGTCTATGTTTGGCATCAATCTAATAATCAGTTTGCCAAACCTTGGAATAACATTTGCCTTGTTCCTCCTGAGAACCCTGAGACAAGGAACACTATCAGATCCAGCAGACAGGGTAGGATTAGAGTGCCTGATGCAGAAGTATTGTTTATGCAAAGAAACAAACAAAAAATGAATTTAAAATGCTTGCCAATCTGTGAATTTTATGGATTTCTTTAAAGTTAAATAGGGTACACTACTCTAGGAAAGAGAAGAATGGAAGACAATAATGATGGAAAGTTAGGACATATCCACTCAATAAGCATTTATTATGCCCAAATGCAAGATGTCATGCAAGGTACAAAATGGCTATAATACATGAAGTTTACCCTCGAAAAACTGAAATGTCTCAAAAGAGAAGAAAATAATGGGGTGTGAGGGAGCACAATCAAGGAGACTCAGTTTTGTGAGCAGCTTAAGCAATAAAAAAAGACAAAGAAAAAACCCCACAAAGACTACTAGAAACTAAACCCAGCTCTCCTGCAAATACTCCTTATAACCCTGGGTGAGCCACTAAATTCTCTGAGCCTCTGCCTGGCTGGTGTGGCTCACTGGTTGAGAGTCAACACATAAACCAAGATGTCACCGGTTCGATTCCTGGTCAGGGCACATGCCCAGGTTGTGGGCCCAATCCCCAGCGGTGGGCATGCAGGAGGCGTCCAGTTGATGTTCTCTCTCATCGATGTTTCTCTCTCTCTCCCTTCCTCTGTCTCTAAAAATCAATAAAGAAAAAATAATTTTCTGAGCCTCAGTTTCCTCACCTGCAACAAGGATTGGACTAGATTAATCTCAAAAGCCATTTCCTCTTCTACAGTTTTATAATTATAAGGGAAAGTAGGTACAAAATAAATTTTTTTTTCAGGGTATACTTGCAGAGAGAAGTAAGTATAAACCCATCTGGTCCACTACAGTGACTGAGGGGGAAAAACAAACAAACAAGAGTAGATTAAAAGCAAAATGGATTTAACTAAGCTGTATGCTTAAAAATAGTTAAAATGGTAGATTTTATGTTATGTATATTTTACCACAACTTTTTTAAAGGAAAAAAAAACATGATTTAAAGAAAGTAGGTAGTTATTTGGAACAGGTAACCTTCAGGCAGTTTTAGGCATGCTGTTCTTCCTACTCCATGGTCCTGGCAAAGCACAGACCATCATACAGGTGACAAAACACTGCGGTGAGCCTTTGAGTCTCTCACTTTGTGCTGCTACCAACAATAGTTAATGAGGTAGAAATACTATGCTCTGGGAACTAGACTCATGCTATAAAATAAGAAAGGTCCTTGAAAGCAGTCTGAAGGGACAAACTATGCAATGATGTCTCCTAAATCTAGCTGTAGTCCAGATCATTCTCCAAAATTCCAACTCTGCATTTCCAATTGCTTCTCCTTCCCCATACATATGTGTCAAAGTCACCTTCTCACTTCTCCTTTCG